AGTGCCGGACGTGCCGAAGCTTCCCGGCGGCAATACAAGCACTTGTAAGAAAAGCTCTAAGGTAAAATGATGACGTGGCACTTATTTTATCACGTGCCCCCCCTTAAATGGCATGCCGTCCAGGCATTCGCATGTATGTACCATATATTATGACATAAAACGATTCTAAATACAGTATTAAGTACGTCTAAGAAAACCCCGAGCGAACACGACCGCGGGAAGGGCAGGAACGTTGAAGGAGCCTGTGCTCATCGTGCCCGACGGCGGGCAGAGGCCTTGGGCGGAGGGAGGGGAAGGGGAGCTTTACTAAAAAGGGAGTTAACATGTACATACCATAAAAGGGAGAAACCACAGGTTCCACCTGCGGTGTCGGAGGTGAGAGGATTTGATGGCTAACTAGCCTGCCGTTGCCGCGTAGCAACCCGGCTATCAAGCTTTACATTCCGTGATGTTCAGGTGGAGGAGGCACAGGAGTGGAAAGCACGCTGAGGAGATTGCCGAGGAGATTTCCGCAGCGGGGTGGACGCGCCGGATGAATATATACTCAGGAGGAAACCTTTTCGGAACGCATGAAGCGGGCTAGCCTCAGATCAGTCGAGAGCGGTGGGTGGGTGTTTTGCTCTAATCGCGCAATGCAATTTGGACAGCATCTGGTCTTATCAGCGCCGCCGGATAACAAAAGGTGAGCGTTACCTCACTCTTCGCCACCCGCGATGTGTCGCCACAGTGCGCTAGCGATGATCGATATCCACCGGCATGATCCATGAAGCTTGAAGTCGTGCCACAGCAGTAGTCCAACACGATCATCGCATTGCCAGAAAAGAGCGTAGAGAATTGAGGCGGTTTGGTGTTGTATGAGAAGGCAAGATTGGCACCAAAAGAGAGATGGGCCTCCGAGCGGTCCTGCACCGAGAATGATCTAACCCATGTCGTGAAGATGGGGCAATCCGGAGGCACGGCTAAGTTGGCGTCAATGTATAGAGCAGAAACGTGTTAGCAACGCTTTTAGCCAAAATCAGGGTTGCAAACGGTGTTTTGCAAGTTTTGCGGGGGGACCCGAGAGCCGTCCAGAGCCAAGGAGAATGTGTACCAGTCCATCGGCTCAAGGTCTGGCCCTGAAAGCTAGAACTGGTGACCAGCAGTCCGTTCGCAGATCATGGATGCGGTGCATGAAGAAATTGCGTGGTAGCAGGTTACTATTGCTAAGGCTTTGCACGACAAACTCCTTCACTAAGAGTAGCATACTAGTACTGTCATCGTTGACGTCGCCGGAAAGATCCCTTCTCAGACGAATGTAAAGTGTGAGCGCACGAGGCCATGAGGTAGGAACGCGCTGGGTTGTGGTTGTGCGACGGGGGATAAGGCGAAGGTTAGGGAGCAGAAAAGGGAAGAGATTGCGCATTGGTGAACATATATGAGATCACATGCTGGAGTCGAATGCAAATCTGGCGAGAGAAGGTTTAAAGCCTCGGAGCGGTCTTGTGCGTGCAGAGCAGAGCGTGCTTTGCGAAAGTATGATAGATCCAGTTTGCTGTGGTTACAGATGTGTCCACGACACTAGACACGATATTCTTGCACAAGGATGGTTGGCAGTAAAACTGGGTGGTATGTGAGAGGCGGAGACAAAGATGAGTTTGTCCCTGACGTAATTTGATGGGATGTGATTGGCTAATAGCTGTGAGTGCGTGCATACGGTGCCATGGCCGTTCCGCTGGTTCTGGTCATCGGCGCAGTAACAGGCACTCTCTCCTCCACTCCACCACTCGACGACGGATGTCCACAGTCTCCAGAGCACTCTCTCATAGCTAGCCCTTTGTATCGCCCTCCCCGAGTCCATGGCGAACGGCGCAGCAAGACTCCTCTTCGTGGCTGCGCTCGTCATCAACGTCGTCCTCTGGTCACATAGTAGACATACTCAGTTCCACTCCGAGACTCGTTCCATCCCTGGTCTACTCAAGCGATCCCTGGATGATCTAGCCGTCGAATCCATTGTGAGATATATGCTATCCTTTTATTTTGCGGAGCGCGCTGAATTGGTTTAGTGCGAGCCTCTCGCTCACGATTCATCCGCCCAGTGTGCCCATGTCACCTCTGTCTGCCCCTCATCCGAAACTGTGCTTTCCATACCCTACCTCCAGCTCTACTTTTGCGCGTCCCTCCCCTCCCGCCCCTTCCTTTTCGCCGCCCTCCTGACCTGGCTCGCATTTCTCTTCTCTACACTCGGCATCGCAGCCTCCGACTTCTTTACCCCCAACCTTGCATCTCTCGCCTCTCTCCTCGGGCTCGACGAGAACGTTGCTGGAGTCACCTTCCTCGCTTTCGGAAACGCTTCCCCTGATGTCTTCTCCACATTCTCCGCTCTTCATGCTTCCGCCGGCGGCCTGGCACTCGGCGAGCTCCTAGGCGCAGCGAGCTTCATCGTCAGTGTCGTCGTCGGCGCTATGGCCCTTGTTCGGCCCTTCCGAGTCCCTCGCGCCCCCTTCTTCCGTGACGTGGGATTCTTCGCTGCTGCTGTCATCACTTTGCTTGCCATTCTCTGGGACGGCCATCTTCACGCATGGGAAGCGGGTTTCCTCGCCTTCCTTTATGTCATATACGCGACTGTTGTCATCGTTGGGAGCTGGTGGACACGCAGACGCGAACGCCGGCGGCTTCGCGAGATGCTCGCTCGTGCCGAGTATGGAGAAGAGGATGCGCCTGTGCTCGATGCTTATGATGATGATCGTGCGTCGCCAGTCGTCTGCTCCGTCCCTGCTACTAATCCTTACCCTGCGTCCTGTAGGGAACGAACCCACAATCACACCTCTCACCCTGGTCGCACCCACACCCTCGCGACTGCGTGCGCTTTCCGCCCCTTCGCCACCTGGCTCTTTACTCCAGCCCCCAGCGCGTGGCCAAGACCTAAGCGCCTCCACACCTGGGCTCACCCTCCAAACTCACTTCGAAGGGAGCCGTTCGCCGTCGCGCACGCCGAGCCCCGCGCCTCTATCGGCGGTAGGCATGCCTAGCTTCTCGCTTGTCCGCGCGCTCGAGTTCCGCGAAGTCGTCGCGAGCCTGCGCGACCGCGCCGCCGCGCCCGGCCTCGCCGCGTTCGATAGGCACAACAGCATCCACAGCCACAGCACGCACACGGGGCTCGTTGCGGGCCACTCACCGCTGACGCCCGGTAGCCCGCTGGCGCACACGTCGGGCGTGTACAGCCATGGCCATTCCCCGCTGACGCCGTCGCAGAGACAGAGTCCGCAGCATGCGTGGAGATATCCGCTGCGCACTGGATCTGGCACCGAGCGAGAGCGCGAGACGGACCCGTGGCATGTGGCACTGGCATCGGGGCCGGATGCGGTGCCGCTTCGTGAGCGCACGCCGACGCCGCGCGTTGAGCTGTCGGTGCCGGAGGACGTTGAGCGTGAGGGCGAGCTGTCTGCGGAAGAGAGTGTGGATGGGGGCGAGCTCGAGCGCTCGCTGCTTACGGTTAGGGACGAAGCATTCCACCGACGGTCCCCGTCACCACCGACGATCCCTTCCCTCCCGTCCATCGCTCACACGCCCGCATCGCCGCACGCTCCTCACCTCCCAGACACCGAACACGAACCTCCCGCGTCGTTCTCGCTGTCCATCCCCTCATCCCCATCGAAATCGAAGTCAGGGTTGACGACCCGCGAGCAGATCGTGTACGCGCTGAAAGGGACATACCGCGTGCTCTGCCCGTCGCTCCAGCGCCTGCGGCACAAGACGCTCATCGCGCAGGCAGCGAGCATCCTCGCCGCGCCTGCGATGCTCGCGCTCACGCTCACACTGCCCGTCGTCGTCCTCCCGCCCGCGCACGAGCTGCACGAGAAGCCCGCGCCGGGCGCACCGCAGCTCCCCGACGATGCGGATATGCGGCTGACGGCGCCGCCGAGGGCGGATGGCTCGCCGCCGGGGGACATTGAGCAGCAGCAGCCGCGTCCTCATTTGCATCGTCGGTCCCGCTCGCAGCGCTCGCATCTCGGTGTGCCGGGGAGCCCCGTCAGCGGCAGGAGCGGGGGCACGGGCAATGCGAGTGCGAGTGGGAGGGAGTACGGCGCGTATGCGGATGAGGCAGAGGAGATCGAGGCGGAGCGGGCGATGCTCGCGGACGCGGAGGAGGCGATGGCGCATGCGCACGAGCGCGGTGTGGACGGGGAGATGGTGATGCACGAGGGGCAGTTTAACCGGTGGCTCGTTGCGGCGCAGTGCACGTGCGGGCCGCTGTTTTGTCTTGTTGTTCTCTTCAGTGCGTTTCATTTCACTTGGGAATGAGGGAAATACGTGTTTGTGGGGTGCTGATATCGTTTGCGTTGCAGATGGGTCGAGCGCGCTGCCGTGGTTGCTGGTTGCTGCTGCCGTTGCGGGTGTTGCTGTGGGGTCGCTCGTCATTGCGTTTGGTCATGGGCCGGATGCGGGGACGACGAAGACGGCGCGGATGGTGCGCTGTGCGGCCGGGTTCGCGGTTGCTATTGTGTGGATCATGGCGATCGCCGACGAGGTGGTGAATGTGCTCCGGGTGCGTGTAACCGATATCAAACAAGTCGTCTCATTCCGTGGCTGATTATAAGTCCACGAACAGACGTTCGGCTTCATCTTCGGGCTCTCGGACGCCATCATCGGTCTCACGATCTTCGCGATCGGCAACTCACTCGCGGACCTCGTCGCAAATACTAGCGTAGCCGTACGTGTTCTCGACTTTTCTCTCCTTTAGATCTGTACCCGAGACTGATAAAAAAACCCTTTCTCCCTACACAACACAAAAAGGTGTTCGCCCCCATCATGGGCTTCTCCGCCTGCTTCGGCGGACCGATGCTCAACATCCTGCTCGGCATCGGCCTCTCGGGGCTATACGTCACGTCCGCGGACCCCACGCTGAACGGTGGCCCGCTGCAGCTGCCCCTGACGCCGACGCTGCTCTCGAGCGCGCTTGGGCTGCTCGTGCTGCTCGGCGCGACGCTCGTGTGGGTGCCGCTGCACGGGTTCTGGATATCGCGGATGTGGGGTGCGATCTTGGTTGGGGCGTACGCGGTGTTGATGGCTGTGAATGTGCTTGTTGAGCTCAAGTTTGATGATGCGTAGGGCGTTGGGTCTGTTTCTGTTTTATCTTTTCCGGGGCTGAGGCCGGGGTCTGAGAACAGAGACCTGAGAAGTGCACGGTATTGCTAGCCTTATTGATTTATAGTGCATTTGCTCATGATATATCCAAACACTGACATTGCAAGCTCAATGAGCTCGATCTGGGATTATGGACTGTGCATATGTACATCTGCATCATGAGCGTGCCGCCATGTGTATTATTTTGCTTGAGGATTTATAATATAATGATAATATTTGAGGAACGGACAAACAAAATGTGATCGGAATTTCCTCGACATTGAACTTCGAGCTTCGCTACCCGACATTTTCCATCTGCTGTAGTGACCTCGAGGTGTCCTCTTGTTTGTCTCCAGCATCGATCAGCAACCAGCAAGTCTACGGATTATATATGCGACTAGTTTCTCGCCTCGGATACTAGTTGCAAATGTGTGCTTCAGTTGCTATTATAACGCTGACAGGAGTTCATCTAGTCCGATTCTTCTATCTTCCGTCTGGTCTGCGCTCTCCTCCATCTCCGTGTTTCTAACCTCCCTAGGCGAGCGTCGGCCACGGAGTTGGTCGCCTCCTTCACCCCCCTTCACTCCTTGAACCTCCACATGCTCAAGCGTTATCTTCTAGCTCAGCTTTTGTCAAGGTACCATCGTGCGGGCCAATGCATGGTTGACCGAATGGTGGCGAACCGCGTTAGCCTCGCGTTCTCGTACCTCAGTGCGTCTCGTCCTTGGATTGTTGCTTGCAGGTCTTTGCCTCTTCTCTCCGTATATGCGACCTGGACCTAGTGGCGCCCCTCGCCCCGGAGTCTCCGATCTCGTTCCCTGGTTCCCTCGAAGACGCGTGGCGCTTGGATCTTTGACCGCGTTCCCTCGTAGAGATCGCCTGCCCGGGTTTTTTCTCTTGTTCCTTCTTGGTCAGCCTGTGCGGTGTGGTGGTGGAAGTAACGGATGGGGAAGGTCTAGTGGAAGAACCGGAAGTAATTGCAGCCCGCCATGAGGAACGGGCAGCAGCCCCGAGCAAAGTCGACATGGCGGCGAAGCGATCGTGTATGGGGCCGAAGGAGCGATATTCAGTAGGGAATGCAGTCGGTGCAGTAGCATGCACACGATTGACCCACTTGCGGTCGCGCAATTCGATGACATCCTGGTTGAGCATATCAGTAACCCATCTTCGATTTACTCGAACAAGCTACTTACCAGAAGAATAAACTGCATGCGGGGGCTCACTTTACCGTTTCTAGTAAGCTTCTCCTTCATGCGCTGGAAATACACATCCATGTGCGCCTTTGCATTGGGCGTGTCCAAGATCTGGCCTACTGTCGTGAATAGTTGACACAAGCCCTCAATCTCCTCCTCATTGGGGTTCTCCACGTTGCCAAGCAGCTTCTTCACGCATTCGTGCATGATCCGCTCCGTCAACATATGCAGCTTGAACAGCTCTCCAATGAACTTGATGAGACCAAGACCCCGGCGCCTCGCCTTCTGGGCAGCATAATATTCATCCAAGTACAGCCCCGGGTCGTCTGTCGAGCCTTTCTTTTCGTTTTCGACTCTGTCCTCCTCGTCCGTCGCCTTGGGTTCCGCCGCTGTTGTGGTCTTCTCGCGTATTGCCCAACCACGCTCAAAGTCTTCTTGGCAACGGTTGAGGAGGTATTTGCGGAACAGCTGGCCACCAGCGATCGGCTTGCCCTCCGCGTTCTTGATGTCATCGTCCTGCACGTCTTCGCTAATCTGCCACATCATCTTGCGACAGAGACGCGCGTACATGCTGTTCCATGCGGCCTGGGTTATTGCCGTCTCGAACACCAGACGAATGACCTTAATAAGCGTGCGGCCGTCCTTCTCCTTCTCGCTTTTGTGTGCCCAAGCGATGATCCGGTTCGAGATCGAGGTGAAATTCTTCATCGTGAGTTTGTTCAGGAGTGACCTGACCTTGCGATCCACCACCCAGGGCGGGGCCCTGTCAATAGCGGCACGGATGCGAGCGGCTCGTTCAGCGCTTGACAGACCCTCGCGGTTTGCGGAAACTTTGGGTGGTGCGACAGACTCTAGGCTGACAGGCGCAGTAGCGTTCGATGCGTCACATGCGCTACTGCCGTCGTTGTTAGTGTTCGCCATCTGCGCGCGACTACCGAACTGAAGACCAATGGACGGAGGCCAAAGTGGTTCGCGGCGTTCAAAAGGTGGACGGCCATAACGGGAGTAGGGTCACAGCATAGTCAAGAATAGCATCCAGTAAGAGTCTCCGTTGTTATCGGAGCTTTAATTCCGTACATGGCTGGGCTGAATGTCTTCAGCTAGCAACCCCCCTCATATGTTCAGCAAAGCGCATTTTCTTCCCTGTTCTACTTCGTCAGTCTTCGCCTTATCTCCAGTTACATAACTGCAGCCCAGCACAAACCTGCTTTGTGGACATCATGAGCTCATATTTTATTGTATTTATTCAGGAGGGGAACTTTCCGGCGACGTCAACGATAACGGCACGCTGATCTTAAACGTGGAAGTTTCTATGTCAAGAGCTAGCCATTGCAAGCTACTGCCGTTTAGTTTTCTTCGGGGACCGAAGCCATGACTCGAAAAAGGATTACCTGTCACCATTTGCAATTTTTCAGAGACAAACACTTCAGTCAATAGGCTGGTGCCTTATCCTCTTGGGCTCTGGGTGGCTAAAACAAGTACTATTAAGTTGCGAACACACTTTCGTCCTTTGACGCCAAGTTGGCCAATATAGGTACCTCGGAATTACCCTGTCTACACAACATGGGTTATACCAACCCTGCCCCATTGCTGTTCGGATGCCGTCTTTTTTTCTGTACCGATCGGACCTTCTCACACGAAGTCGATCGCCTCAATCAAATACTCTCATTCCGGAAATACGACGATCGTGCTGAACTGTGCTTGTGGTATGGCTTCAAGTTTCATTAATCATTGCTGGCATACTGTGGCGATAAGTGAGGTAAACTTCATCCCTTCGTTATCCGGCGGCGCTGATGAAACCAGTCCGTCATGATATGTTCCTACTTGGCAGAATGGTGGTGCTATTGCCGATCAGCCTTGTGCGGAGCCCACCAGCGCCTACGTTTTACTTGCGAATATTTCCACGCTGGACGAAGCTGGATGCCGTGTTTCAGGTGCTCGCGAACGAGCTGTGAGACGTCAGCACGACGGAGATTGCGTATGAGGTGTGCGGCTGATTACGAAGCCTGCTTTTTCATGTTCATAGGTTGACGTCGAGCCCGATTAGACCCGCCGGGCCAACCATCTCGAGCTCCTCGATAGCTTGCCAGCTCATGTTCGGTTCGTTGTGCTCGTCGGGGATCCTGATGCTGGTGGACAGGCCAGCTTGAGTGAATTTGAAGGGGTTTCCAATATCGAGGCGAGCATGATGAAAGGTAACCACGTTGGATTCCATACGAGTGTCCTGAAGAAGCTGTGAGAGTTGCTGTGTATAAACGCGTAAACGCTCATGTGTACAAATAACTTGAAGCTAATATCTGTAAAATAGTGTTGAAGGGTTTGGGATAGTTAGTCCCGGAGGCGACGAGAGGACGTCGTATAGCAGGATGAGTGGCTACGAACACGCGCGAAGGCATTGTGTAGCATTGATCATGCCGGCCCTAAACTACTGTATCATATTTTCCTCGAGGCGTCTTCGGTCCAATCCGACTCGTCAAGTTCGATCTCATTCCCTGATTCTGGGCACCTCGCACTCCGATTTTTGCTCTCGTTCCTTCAGGCTGGTCGGCTTACGCCAATTAGAGGGCTGGAGGAAGCGGATAGAGAAGATCTAAGAAAGTAGTTGGAAGTCATTCTAGAGCGCCGTGGGGAACGGATGGGCGAAGTCGGGATGGCGGCGGCAAAGAGGTCGTGTATGGGGCCGAAGGAGCGTTTACGGCGGGGACTCTACTGATCGGTTGCGCACCGACACCCATGGGACTGGCCCACTTGCGGTGGCGCAGCTCGATGACATCCTGATTGAGAGTGTGTCAGCAACCCGCGCTCTCAACGACTCGAACAATCTACTTCACTCACCAGAAGTATAAACTTCATGCGTGGACTCAACGGCGCGGTCTCCATGAAGTCCTTCATGCGCTGGAAATACGGGTCGATATGCGCCTTCGCCTTGGACGTATCCATGGTCCGGCCTGCCGTCGTCAGTCGCTGGCACAGGTTCTCGATTTCCTCCTCTCCGGGGTTCTTGCTGCCGAGCAACTTCTTTGTGCACTCGTGGATGATTCGCTCCGTTATTATCCGCAGCTTGAAGACCTCACCAATGAACTTGATGAGACCGAGACCCTGGCGCCTGGCCTTTGTTAAGACTGCGTCTTGACCTTATGTGGAATATTAGTCGTCACCGTAGTTGACGACGTCAAAGGTTCGTGGTCGTCGAAGAGGACGATATCGAAGGGTTCTTAATAAGTCGTCAGCGACGATGAGGTTCTTAGTCTTAGTGGTTGTCTCAGATCGTGTACTAGGTTGTATCGAGAGTGGTATCAGATTGACTAGTTATTCCTAAGGTAGGACTAGCTTATGTTACATGGGCGAGCAGAGCGAGCCTTATATACAAAGATACGAATGCGCACAGACCAGTTTCCCGATATATCGTACAAGTTAGAGGTCCTGCCTCTTTAGGTAAGAGAAGAAAAAGCGTGTCATAACATAACCCCCTCTGTAGATTCGAGATGACTCGATCTCGATCTACTCACATGCTTCTAACTCGGGCATGTCCTCGTCATCAGATATCTCGTAAGGGGCGGCCTCGGGTTCCTTGGGAACCATAACCACGTCATCCACAT